CAAGTACTTCCTCATATCTATAACTTAATTTCTTCAAGAACCCTATGAAGAGGGTAGTGTGTTATCTCTATTTTACAGAGGAGGAAACTGATGTATTCAGCTTCCCTGAGGTCTTTCACTGAATGAAAGATCCAGAATTTGAACACAAGAAGTTTTACACCAAATCCCATATTCTCATTCACTAAGCATACCTATTTCCTCTATTTACTGATGTTTCTTTTTTTTATTTTTTTTATTTTATTTGTGAAGATACTGTACAGAGGGGTTACAATTACATGGGCAGGATAATGCGTACATTTCTTACCAAGCATTGCAGCCTCCTCCTTTTGTTTACCCTTCACATCCCTTCCCAGCCTCCCCCCTCCCCTTTACTGATGTTTCTTATACTTAGTATTACACTCTATACTGGTCAGTTGATAAAGGCTAACCAAAATGTCCTGGTCCTTACTTTTCAAATGTATTTTATTTATTGATTTATTCATTCATGTATTTATTTTTTTGTCAGTTGGGGGGCTTGAACTCGAAGCCTTGGTGCTACCCCTGAGCTTCTTTTGGTCAAGTCTAGTACTCTATCGCTTTGAGCCATAGCTCCACTTCTGGTTTTCTGGTGGTTCTTTGGAGTTAAGGGTCTCACGGGGGGCCGGGAAGGTGGCTCAGTGGTAGACTGCTTGCCTAGCAAGCACTTGGTTCCTCAGCACCACATAAGCAAGAAAAGCCAGAAGTGTCACTCTGGCTCGAGTGGTAGAGTGCTAGCCTTGAGCTGAAGAGCTAAGGGACAGTGCCCAGGCCCAGAGTTCAGGCCTCATGACCAGCAAAAAAACACACACAAAAAAAAAACAATAAAAAGAGTCTCATGGATTTTCCTGTCCTGGCTGGCTTTCAACTGTGATCCTCAGACTTTAGCCTTGTGAGTAGCTAGGATTAATAGCTTCTATTAAGTCCCTCTCCTGTGACCTCAAAAATATTCAACTAAACCCTAGTACATTGTCAGACATATAGACCTATACTGGCAAGAATGCACAAAATAGTCATTGACTTGCATAGCAGTTCTAGGGGAGACACCTTACCTGCTTGTCCAGCTGTCCAGCTAGTAGAATGTGCTTGAAAGACTGGAGCTACAACATCTATCATGGTATTCTTAGGATGGTACTGGGAAGTTCTGGTCAGACTAGGCAACAGGGTCTAGAGGCACAAGTCTCAGCCTTCTAAGTGGCTAGGATTAGAAGCCTGAGCCACCAGTGCCAAGCTCTCATCACAATATTATGTCAGTCATTCAGATAGGTACATAGTTGTTATCTTAGTAAGGCTTTAATTTCCATATATCCTTACTGGCTACAGATATTGCACATTTGTTCAAGGGGTTATTGTGATTTCTGTATTTTCCTTGATGAAACACCTCTTTATATCTTTTGTCCATTTTGACTAGGCTGTTTAGATTTTGTACTGTTCCTTTTTTGAGAACTGTTTGTCCATTCAGATAGTATTCCTTTGTCAGATATGTGGTTTGAAAATACATTCTTCCATTGTGTGGCTTCTCTTTCCTTTCTCTTAAAAGAATCTCTACAGAGCAAGTTTTTATATTTGTAATTGTTTTTATATTTGTAATTCTTATATAGTTTTCTCTTTATGGTGTCAAGCCTCCTCCTAATTCTTGGTCCTGTGTGGCAGCCAACAGAGCAGCTGCTCAACATGGAAAATGGCTTCCTCCAAAGCAAGTGATCCAAAAAAAGAAAGAAATAGCATGTGCTTAAGATGGAGGCCTCAGTGTCTTTTGTAACTCAGTGATGTATCATTCCATTTCTATAGAATGATTGATGGTCACACCAGCCAATTATGGCCTCATATGGGAGGGGATAACACAGAGGTATGGATATCAAGAGACAAGGATCATTGGGGACATCTTGGGGACCATAGATGTGAAACCTTGTCATGGAAATGAATGTGCATGAATGAATGTGCACATCTTGGAGACTGCCTGTCTTTTGCTGTGAGCACAGGAATACACCTTTGGCCATTTTACTCTTACTCTAGATTGCAAATACAGTAGAGGGAGGAATAATGCTTTTTTGGTGACTCTCTTTCCCTACAGCATTACAGTACTGATTCAGCCAGAACTGGGCTTCATCCATGTTTTACATCAATCAAGAAAGCAACAGAATCCTCACATCTGTCTGTAGCAATTTTTTTTGCAGTGCCAGAGATTTGCAATCACCTGTGATCACTATTAACATAATATATTGTTTAAATGTCTTATTAGCATTCAGCTTTTCCCATTGAGAAGCTGAGACTTTATATCTCCTAATTCTCTGAGAGAATTCAGAAAAATGTGAAAACAAAAAACTACCATCAATTATGTAGGCAGGTACAAGACCAGGGCCTAAAATATAGCTGGTATGGTCAAGCTTCAGACCTAGTTTCAGCTTAGATATTAGTGGCCCTTGGACTTAAGAGATGCTCATTTACTTACAACCTGGTAGTTAGTAAAGAGGACCATCAGAACCTGAAATCCAACCCATAGCAACATAGAGGAAAAGTTCCTCCAAAATAAAATAAAATTTGCATTGTTTAGGCAAATATCATTGCCAGATGGCATTTCCATTGGAGTCTGCTCTGCTTAATGCTTTCAGTTTCTAGGCTGAACGACTAAATCACTCTCCCTTCCCATAGGTTCCTGCTCAGTCTCTTGACAGGCAGAGTTGCCATTTTCAGCTTCAAGAGAGAAACAAATCATGTCATTGTCAGGGCTGTGACTGAGAACATCGTGCTCTTAGCCCTACTGGCTTGGCAATATGAAAAGACTCAGACAAAGCTGTTTGCCATGAATCCATCATTCTGGCTTGCCCAGCTGGGTCCTCCCCCAACCCTCATTCTAATCCCACTCACAATTCAAATACCCTAGAATTTGTTCCAGGAACAGTTAAGATTCCTGCTAATTTCAAATTTAGCAGCACTGCAGATCTTTTCTTTTGTGCCAGTCCTAGGGCTCACATTCAGGGTCTGGCCATGATCCCTTAGCATTTTTTTACTCAACATTGGCACTCTACTACTTAAGCCATACCGCCACTTCTGGATTTTCTCTGGTTACTTGATGATGAAGAGTCTCACGGACCTTCCTGTCTAGGCTGACTTTGAACCTTGATCCTCAGAGCTCAGCTTCCTGAGATTTAGGTGTGGGCTATGGGGATCTGGTATCCTTTTCTTTTTGTTAATGAAAGGAAATTCTGGTTGCTGGAAGTTCAGCAGACACCTCTCCTTTCCAAAGCCCCCAGGAGAAGAGGGAGATGGAATGATCAATTTGCAAGACTGCAGAATACACACGAAGTGTCGACTACTGAGCAAATACCTAATTGCCTCTCAGGACGCAGAGGCCCTGGGGCCCCATGCTTGGCTATGACACCTGTCACAGTTCTTGAGTGGATCCAAGGGAACTGATCAAAAAGAAAAAAGCATTTGGGTTCTCCCTGTTAATCTCTTGCTTTAGTCCCTCAGTCATTAAACTGTCAACTTCTTCATCTTGGAGGTAGAATGGGAATACAATCATTGTCACGTGGAATGGGGAAAACACAAAGAATAATGTGTGTAAACAATATGGTCTGACAGTTCATTGGTTGGCGAAATAACACTGGTGCATTTATTACATTGGTTTTGAGCAGATATTTGCATGTATACCTGTGTGCATCTTGACTATGTGAGGGGGAGGAATCTTTTTATTTTTCATTTAAAGTTGGTATTTTTATTAAAGTTTTCTCTGGAAATATCCCTTTACTAGAACATTCTTTCTAGAAACAGCCTAAAGAAAATTCTTGGATCAGTACAAAGTAAGAGAAGTTTCTAAAACAATGTCTTTGGAGGCAGAATGAGACTGAATTGTTGGGGAAAGGGGCAGAAGGCATTTACTGGGTCTTGAACTCAGGGCCTTGGCTTTCTTCTCAAGACTGGTACTTTCACCACACAAGCCACACCTTCACTTCTAGCATTTGGGTGGTTAATTGTAGATAAGAATCATAAAGCCTTTTCTGCTGAGGCTGGCTTTGAATTTCCATGCTCAAATTGCTCAAATCGCAGTCTCCTGAGTAGCTAGGATTACAGGCATGAGCCACTAGTGCCTGGATGATTTTTTACACACTCTTGGCTGATTTGAACTTTATGCTGCCTTTGGGAACTGGCTTAGAAATGGTAATAAAGCCTACCTGACAGGGCGGCTATGAACATAGAATAGAAAAAGAAGTACACTATGAAGAGCTTGGTGAGTAGTAGCTGCTTAAGAACAGAATTAGCCAACATTCACTTTGCTTTTATATGACAAAAGTTGGCATCCATATTCCATCTAAAGATCACCATCAAATTCCCCACCTTCTTCATGGTATGTAGATACTATTATTCCTACTAGAAGAAAGATAAGGTTTGGAAAGAGGGTCTGCCTCAGGAACATAACTGGAAGAGACAGAGGCAGGATTTGAATCCAACTCAAACTCTATCCACTGCATGCTGTATATGCCATCTACAAGCTGATGCCATAAGCCAGAACTGGCCCATGAGCATGTTTGCTTTGGCTCAGAGTATTTATTTATTTTTAATTCTTTATTTTAATGTAGTTTTCAGCACTTAAAATTTGGGAACAATCTCACCGTTCTGGGCCTGAAGTTTCTTTCTTAAAAGCTGACACCTTGGTCACCCTGCACTTGCATTCTCATGCGCTGTGGTAAGCTAAGGCTGTGTGATGGTTGACATCTTCGTTGGGGTAGAGGGGCTGGTCGTGGTCTTCATCCTCACACATTCCCATCCTACCAGGGTCTGAGCTCTTTCCATTGCCGTTCCTCCGTGTCCCTCATCAACCCCATAAAGTAGTTAGGCAACAATTTGATCTGGCATGAGGGCCTTTGGGAGGCAAACTGCCTGCGCTCACGCCCATCTCTGTTGAATTCTAGTCATTCCTGCCTGGTGTGGATAAATGTCCATGACACCGTGGTGTGCCTGGATTGCTCCAGGGCTTCCCTTACCACATGCTTCCCCAGCTGAGGAGTCTGGGAGGTGTCAGCAGCGTCCTGGAGTCTAAGCACATATCTGGGAGGTGTCAGCAGCGTCCTGGAGTCTAAGCACATGTCGCCACTCAGGGTCCTTCAGCCTCCCTTGGCACAGCATCCCCGTAGAGCTATCTCATCCCAGACTCTGCACCTGGAGTCTTCCTCCTCCATGGATTCCTGCAGTCACCCCCCACCCTGTCCTCATGCTAACCATTCAACACGTGGCAAAGTCATATCTATCTTTAGCAAATATTTGTTCACGGTCAGAGTGTGAGGCCTGTGAAGTCACCCAGAATCCCTGCTTAGGAGGGCCCCTCGCTTGGCTTAATGCTCTATTACTCCATTTCGACCGTCCTAATGTGTTTTTAACTACCAGCTACCTTTTTATTTTGTAGTGGGACCAATAAGTACAAAGCTGTTCCTATTCACCTTTCAATTCAAGAAGCTTCCATGACCCCTGACCTCAGTAGTATTTTCTGAACGATGACACATAAAGAATATGTAATATTTGTATGTGATAGTGGGAGGCTGTAAGGCTCTAATTCTGGGCTAGGTATGTGAAAGAAAAAAAAAAGTCATGACAAATAAGGACCTCACAAAAATGTTGCTCAGTACAGCTGTAAGAAAAATTCTGCCTTGCAGGAAAAAGTACCTTTAGTTCACTTTAGTACTAATCAACATTACTCCAGACCTTCTGCAATCAGGCTAATATTTTTGAGTTTACATATCATATCCATTGTCATTGCCAGGTCCTCATTAATATAACCTCCAGTTGTTGAAAATAGTCACTCTTCTTAATATTACCCAAGTGCTACCATTTTATCAGACTAGCTTAAGTCCACCTTCTCCATAAAGCTTACCTTATGCTTATCAGTCAATAGTATTTCATTCTTAAGTCAAACAGTTGATGATTGCTTAATCAGTACTAGGTACTGAACCAGTATTGAGACATAATTATAAGTAACACATGCATGTACCTGTCCTTACAAAGATTTTTAATGAAGTATGATCAGAGTTATCGCAGAAGTAAAGGGAGAATATATTGATTCCTAGATCTCTGTAATAAATTACCACAAGCTTGGTGGCTCATAACATCAGAAATTTATTGTCTCGCAGTTCTGAAAAATAACAGTCCAAAATCAAAGACTCAGTAGGACCACCTTCCCTTTGCCTTATAGGAAGAGTCATGCTTTGCCTCTTGCAGCTTCTGACATCTCTTGGCATCTCTTGACTTTCTATGAGAGATTATTTATCTTGATTCGTTCCATTTATCCTTTCACCTTTTGTCCATCCACGTTCTGTATGTCTCTTATACAGACACTTGTCTTTTTATTTAGGACCCACTGTGTGATCCAAGATGATTTCATCTCAACATCCTAATTATGTCTTTAAAGACACCTTTTCCAACTAAGAATCCCACAGTAAGAGAAGTGGGTAGAGTTATTAAAAGGGCCAAATTAAAAAAAAATCTGCAAACAGCTTGGACCCTCTAACATGGGGAGACATTGAAGGGCATTAAGAATTAAAAGAACATTATCAGATTTAGGAGGATTATATGGTCAGCATTCAAGGAATAGTCTGGGGCAGGCCAGACTCAAAGAGACTTTCCTGCCCAGGCTACCTTTGAACTGAGTTCCTCAGATCTCAGACTTCTGAGTAGCTACCTAGGCCTATAAGCTTGAGCCATAGGAGCCCAGCTGCTATGTAGTTGTTATATTGTGTTATACTGGGTCCAATGTCAAAATACAATATCTACACATGTTCAGTACATTTTTTTCTGAATTTTTTGTCTGTGTTTGATAGAATCCCATGGATACAGAGGGATGACTAAATTTAGCTATGTATGTTTTTTTAACCATATAATTGGAAACTTATTGTTAATTATTCTATTCTCTGTCCCTCATTTTATATTTTGCTGGACGTCATTGTTCTGTGTTATGCTGTCTCAGTCTCTAACTATACTTGGGAACCTAAGCAGAAGTTCAGATCAGGGGTCCATCTGGGAATAATTTCTGAACAAATGTCTTAAGTGTTAACTGCCCAGAGCTTGAGCCAGAAAACAGGAGCAGGGGGTGTTCTCCATTTCCTCTTGAACTTCACCAAATTCCTTCATCCAGTGTCACCATCAACTGGCAGGCAAACAACTTTATTTCTCTAAAGTAAGCAACATCTTTTTGCTTTGTTTTTGCTCAAAGAGCTTCCTTCCCTCACAAGAGCTTTTTTACAGCTGACAGAAGCCTCTCTAACAGTACTATGTAGTGGTGCAGCCAGCAGTGGTGGACGCTGAGATGTAACATGGTAGCCTCTTGTTGCAGGTGGCTTTGAGCACTTGAAGGTGGCTAGTGCACCTGAGAAACTCAACTTTTCATTTCCATTTTAACGAATTCAAATTTAAATACCTGCTTTGTGGTTAGTGGTTACCACATCAGAAAAAAAATAGCTATATAAACTTTTATGAACTCAAAATTCACTGCTTTAAGTAATTTCCCCGGAATTCTCTTCACACCAGGCCTGCCTTTCCTGCACTATGCAGTCTAGAATCTTATACAGTCATTATGCTGTGGAGACTATGGAGGAATAATTTTCCATTGACTAATTTAATTTAATATCTACCGCTCCTGATAGAATGAGCTCTGGTAAGACGGGCATATGTCAATCTCCATTACTACTGTTTCCAGCATCTAGCACAAGATGTGACTCTTATTTTTTTAATATATAGTTTTTTATTGTAAAGAGGGTTTACAGTTACATGAGCAAGGCAATGAGTACATTTCCTATCAAGCATTGTTACCCCCTCCTTTGATTTTCCCCTACCACTGTGGCTCTTATTTACTAAACAAATCCTTGAAAGGATGAACACATTCTCAGATAGTGATCATATAAAACATAATCTTGGAGTGACCATATAAAGCATAATCTCAATGGATGATCACCTCTATAACCAACAGAAATTGGGACCAGGAAGTGGCGCTGTAGCTCAAGTGGTAGAGCGCTCGCCTTGAGCTGAAGAGCTGAGGGACAGTGCCCAAGCCCAGAGTTCAAGCCCCATGACCGACCAAAAAAAAAAAAGTTCAGAAATTGGGACCAGTGGGAAAGTACAATTTTGCCATGCTTATTTTGAGATATGTGAAAGCTAAGGCATCACATCTTGAGTTTTGTCTCAACTTAAGTCTTGAAGTGTGTCCTGACTGCTGATGGCATCCACATCTCTTCCCCTCAGATACAGTTAATGGTTTAAAAAACAAAAAACAGAGAAACATTCCCTCTTCTCCCTCTTCCCTGGAGGTTACTTATGTCATTGCTCCACCTCTAGAAGTTGCTCTAAATCCTGAGTTTGCACTGGTATCTACTCTGTATCCTCTCTGAAATCATTTACCATAATCCCAAAGCCTTAACTCAGTTAATTTTTAAACATTGGCTATGTTAGGCATGGTGGCACAGCACTGAGCTCTTTATCCCGACATAGAAATGTAGAAGTCAGTAGTCTCTGGGTATGCCCTTGTAGTTAAATACATTTTTCACTCGGATGAAACTCAGATTAATCAGAGTTCTAATTTCACTGCAACATTTGGGGCTCCCTTGTAAGCTTGTTAATGATCTTAAGCTCCAGCATTTTAGCTGGATAGAATCCTAGGACATAGAGCTAATCTGCTAAATCTAACAGGTAAGTAGACTCTGGAAGGCTCTGTGGATCCAACTGAGTCTGGCTGGTGTAAGGCTAGGAGCCTATGTCCAAGTCTCATTGCAAATCCTTCAAAGGCAGTTTCAAAATCAGTGGACTAAAAGTCACTCCATTGTGGAGCCAAGGTCAACAGTCTAAGCCAGTTGCTGGTCCAATTGAGGTTAGGCAAAGCTGGTAACCCATGTGGGAAGCTACAGGGAGCTGGGGAAGCCCGAGAAGGGAGTTCAAATGGGGTTAGTCAAGAGGGAGGCTTTGCCAGTTCTTGGTCCCCTCTGCCATGATGGTGGGCTCTGGAAGCTCAAAAGGGAAATGCTGCTGATGAGAGTTGAGAAATTGGCCACCTGTGGGTGGATTTGATTCACAATAGGCACAAGAGGTTTTCATCCTGACTTCAAAGCCATTTAACCAAACCCAGTGAACATGCTAAAGGGAAAGGAGTCAGCCTATATCACAGGATCTCAGGCCATGGACAGATGCCTCCCAGCACACTCCCAAGCCTTGGGGAATGAGGGAGTGAGGCACCAGCAGCATCCAACCCTGGAGCCGCACCTCCTGCATTTCCAGCTTCCAGCAGTGGAGTGATAACAATCCTCCTATTGCCCCAAGTAAGATGACTCCTCCCATCCACAGCACAGAAAACCAGCTTTCTTCTTTCCCCTGCCTATTACATCACTGCTGCTTTCCTGGGTCTTTTCAGAAGCTTCAAAGCCTCCAGCAAACAGGAAATGGTAACCTGGTGTTGGGAGCATCTCATTTACAGTAAACAGGAGAGTGTGGTCCTGCTGGAAGAGTGGGTAGAAGAGATGACAAGTTCAATAACTGATAGAATCGGGGTACATGTTGGGCTGAAGCTGAAGCAAGGGATCACTCAAAGTTAATGAATAAGACCCTGCACAGGTCTTACAGTGCCCACAGCCTGTTCTGTCCTGTTGTTGAATTTCTGCATCACCAGTGGAGTCAGTCGACATTGATTGGGTGCAGCCAAGGAGCAGCCTGTGGAGGGGCCTGGAACTCACTGGACATCTTTGCTCTGTTCTGTTTAGCCTCATCTCAAAGACAAATATGCATTGAACAAATACCAAAAGGTCACGACAGCTCCTGAGAGAGTCTGTGGCCTTTGAGAAGCTTTTGCAAAATGCATCAATCATTGTCAATGCCCAAATCTTAATAAGAAACATTGCCATCTATTGCCTACCATAGGCCAGGTGTTGACCATACATCATTTTGCTTAATTCAATTCCAAAAACCCTCTCCATTTCTCATCCTCAGAGGTCAACTGTGCTTGTTCAAGTCATGCTTTCTGCCTGGACCTCTGACAAGATTTCCCTGCTCACCCACAGAGAGGCCTGAATGAACTTGCAAATATACCAATCTGAGCAAGTCAGTCCCTTTCTTA